AGTGACCAATGCCCCATGCTGCAGAGGAAGGCAAAACTCCCCCAGGTCTCTGCCAATCTGACGTAGGAGAAAATCCCTTTCCAGCCCCAAATATGGTGATCAGTTAGACACTGAACATATGGGCAAGATGCACCAGCCAGACACATTTACAAGCTGCCCACAGTACAGAAAAGGCAACCATTTTGGTTTTCACTAAGAATATATATTTGTTTTACCTAAAAGGGTTTTTCTGCTTGATTTCACATTTCACATAAAAAAATAGATTGTCCCTACCTTTTCAGGTTTCAGAGTAACAGCTGTGTTAGTCTGTATTCGCAAAAAGAAAAGGAGTACTTGTGGCACCTTAGAGACTAACCAATTTATTTGAGTATGAGCCTACCTTTTCAGAGGTTCATAATCAAAAGTGAAGTGGTGAACATTTTCAAATAAAATCTGTCATCTCTTTCTCACAACTGTAAATAGCAAACTTTTCTTTGAAAGTCTAGGGAAATCAGAAGGAAGAAACTAGAATGATTTTGAGGAGTGAAGGAATGACACTCTAACTGGATAAAATACACAGTTTGCTGTTTTGTATATGTCAAACAAAAGTTGGGTCCAATTATCAGTTCTCTAAATGTGTGTGTGCGTGTGTGTGTGTGTGTGTTTATTGTAGCTGACCAAAATTTGTAAGATACCCAGAGAATTAAAACACATACAAACCATTTCTAGTTAGCGTAATATGACTATTTTCAAAGGCACACATGGCATTAAATATTTCAGCCAGTGTTTTTGTTCAGATTTCCTTTTTCTTGATTGTGATGCAAATAATATTTGCTAGTTTATACTATAAACCACTTGGAGGTTTTTTCAAATGTTTTTAACAGTTATGAGAAAGGTATTTTCAATGTTTGATAAATCAGATGATACTGAGTGGCATATAATTGCTTCTTTGTCAAATGAAGCAATTTAGCTGTAATAACAGCCTCCAGGCATAAAATCAGCACCATTATTATCAGACCAAATTTTTTATCATCTTATTATTATTCTAAATGAAGAGCAGAATTCACACATCTATCTAGTTTGGTCATAGATATACAAAAGCAAAATAACTTAAAACAGTTTGACGTGTGGCAATTCCTATATTGTTTTACGCTGAAAAACAGCTGTCCTGCACACTATTAGACATTTGTTTCCTGATGTAAACATCCATACTAAGTCTGTGGAGTACTGTAATACAGCTTAGTGTATGTTTAGAAAAAAATAGACTCTGTTATGAAGCTTTCACATGAAATGGTCTGTATTGGTTATGATAGCAAAGATAAAATGCTTTTTCTGAATTAGGTTTGATGAGAATTTACTTTTAGCTGTAGACTATAATAAGCATTTAATTGAGTTTTTACATGAAACTATAAAGTAGATTGTCTTCATCTATTCTTTGTCATCGTTGACAGCATCACTGCCCTCCCCATCACCCAGAGTTCCAAACTGAAGGTCATTTTTATTCCTCTCTCACCTCTCTGCACAGCCAGGTTTTGTATTTCCTTCTCTAAAACATATCTGAAGTCCCACTGTTTATCTCACTGTGCTCTGACCATTTCCAGACTTCCTCTCAGGCCTCCTCAGTAGCCATGTCACCTTCTCCAATTCAATTAAAACATGGCCATTAAAATTAACCTCCTTGTCTGATGATCAGGCCATATCACTACCCTCTTTGAAGGTCCTACACAATGCTGCTGTGACCTATATCTCTGTTATCTTCTTATCCTCTCCCACTATCCTAACTATAGCACTAATGACAGCCTTGATGACCTGTTTGTCTTGGTTGTGTATATAACTATGAAACTGCCATGGCTTTGTTTCTGTGTAATATACATTTAATTCTCTAAGAACACTGTCTTGAGATACTGGAAGCTATTTGGTGCTCAGACTGTTACAAAGACTACACATACTGAATGCCCACTCGTGAAGACTTCACCTTTGTTTGTTTTGTTTTAATGTTCGCTTGATCTAATGCTTTCAATTAATGTGCTCTTTGTGTACGGAGGAACATATGAGTTCCAGGAACAACAAGTGAAACTCTGAAAGCATTCAGAGAAGATAAAGAAGCAAGGAAAAAGTTTTCTCGTTAAAAAGAAATAAAGAAAAGGTAAAACGGCCACTTGATGGACCTATGGAATATATTATGTGTCTCCATTTTGAATTGAAATCTGGCCCTTAGAGGCTGAGTTTCTTCTCCCAAAAAGGAAAGAAAATTAAGAGATGTGAATGAAAATAGTTCTCACAAAGAAACTTGCTGAGGGTAAAAGTTGGGAAACTTAGTCACAAGTCCACCCAATTTAGACTTAATTAATATTCTCTTTTATTTATACAATTTCAGGCAGAATTATTGTCACTAATAGTGTCCAAACATACATTTATGTCAGACAAATAATAATAGACAAGGCAAAATTGATAAGTGAGCCCAAATTACGACATTCTGCAGTACTGGGAAATCCTTCTATCTTCCATGATAGTTGTGCCTTCTCTGATCCCTTGGTCTGATTTTTCAGTCCCATTCTTCAGTTTCTGGTCTGGTGTTTTTACAGTTTGGGCCTGTGTTTGCATAGATCTTTTATACAATTCTGCAGTACAGATTACTTAATCTTTATCCAATTGGCTTTTAGTACAACCACCTCTGGGTTTTAGGTAACCTGTACATTATGCATGCACAAGCTTCAATTATCCAACTTCTGCATTTTTCCTGATGGTTTTGCAGTTTCTAGCTCATGTCCTGGGTCTTCCCAGGAAAAAAAAAGGGTTTCTATTTATCATTACATGTTTGTGTATCTCTTACTTACATCTTACAACACAACATATTGTTTCATCAGTAATAACATTTTAAACAAATCAGTAATTCTATGTAAAAGAACTGGAAAAGTCACCCCTATTCCAGCAAGGCCTGGTCTTAAGTATTACCTCATTTGTACTCATTCATTATCCATTTTTAAAAATAGTTAAAATATAGCTAACAAAGCTTTTAATTTTATCATTTAGCAATCCTTCATTTTATATTTCAAAGTTATAAGTCAATATATGTGTATTATCTCCTTCTACGCTTTAATCTATTAGAAGGCAGGGGAATTAGAGAAACATGATAATTCTTTAGTGTCAACATTTCTTATCTTCTTTAAACATGGGTTTTGCATTCAAAGTCCATTTTCTGTTTGTGACTCATTACAAAGAGACTTCAGAAATTTTCCTGTGAATGCTTTTTGAGGGGTGTCTCAAGTTTAGGGCTTTGAAATTAAGCAGTTGTTAATGGTACCTCAACAAAGGGTAAATGTTTGAGTCTTAAGTTCAAAATACTATCCAGTCTGAGAAGGTACTTGTGCTAATTCATCACATGTGGGAAGAAAAAGGCCCAGTTAACAGGCAAAGTTGACAACGTAGTCTGTCACACCTCAGATGGCATCAGCAAATGAGGATTCCATGTTTCTATTATTTTCATTCCATTTTTCCCTAGTGTCATTTGTCTCATTTTACCATCTGTTTAAAAGCTGAAGGGGAGAGGAAGGAAGGAAGATCAATCTTTTTTTTTTTTTTTACACATACTTTTGCTATTATACCTCAGCCTCATGCCCAGCTGAGTCACTCAGAGAGGGGGCCTTCCACATGCTAATCTCCACCTGCCTGTGCAGAAGTGAACAATAGTTGCCTCTGTGGCCCCATTCCCTCCCGCATAGCTTAAACTCTACAGAGAGCCTTCCAGTAGCCTCAGATCCATATATGGGAAGGAGCCTGGGCCAGAAGAAAAAGAAAGATGTTGAGCTGGGAGAGCTAAACACAGTACCCTCTAATCTCCAACAACACTTCAAGAAATATACTTGTACTGTATTGACTTTCCTGAAGATTATCCATTTGGTTGTGAAACCTATTTGAGAGCGTGAAGAGGCTGGTCAGCTGAGGGCAGGGGAATCGAACAGGAAGCTCCAGTGAAGCCACACTTCAGTGATTGCCACTGGGGGGTACAAGGAGCCACAGGGCTTATGTGGAGGCAGAGGGCCTCCATGCAGATGGTCCTTGACTTCCAGAAGATCCCCTGAAATCTATAGGTTCGGGAAGTTGAATCTCTTGATTCATGTGGCTTTGTGTGAGTGTGTTGCAGAAGGAAGGCAAAACATTTCCCTGAATAGAAGAATGCAGATAAAATTCAGGAGATGTTCAGAGTTTTCCACCCTCTGATCAGAATTCCCCATGGAAGAGGGAATCTTGGCCAAATTGCTGTGAATGTACCGAGCATTTATTTTTCCCTTTCAGTCCATATTCTTGACAGACCACAGGGTCCTTCTTTGTGTAATGAGTCCTAATTTAATCATACTGTCTACTTTCACTTTTAATTTTCTTTCCACCTCCTATCTGTACTGTTCCTATTCCCATTGTCCCACTGCACATGCTTCTCTGCCACCTTTCTCCTCCTCTTCCCTTGTACGTGCTAGAAGGAAAGAAGGAGGATACACCATCATATGATTGATCAGCTCGCTGTAGACCAAAGTTTGAAAACAGCTGTTATACATAATTGTCTATAAGTTATTGTTCCTCTGATTTTTTTATATGCAACAAAATATATGTTGCCAGCTTGTTTCAATAGAAACAAGGAGTGAAAAGAAATAGAGTGAGCTGGACAATTTGACAAAAAATGTTTTGAACACAATTTTGTAATGGAAAATTGTAATGGGTTTCTAGCTTTAAATATATATATATACACTAGGTAAAACTCTCTATTTCTCTAAGAGTGCCACACTTTGAACTATCCCTGTCAAAATGGACCCATTGTAACTAATGAAGCAGAAAGATGCATGGCACACAGTTCATCCATCAGGCCATGCGTACAGTAGTAAGTGCACCTTCAAAGGATGCCCTGAGGTCAACATTTAAATTGCGGTATTCTGATAGTGCTTTTACATTGCAAATACTTTCTTCCTGGTTTTTAACGGTTCCGCATAATTTATCATATTTTCTTTATCTGCAATTTCAGGAGAAACGTGCTCTGTGAGCATGGATGAATGTCTGGACAGGCCCTGTAGAAATGGAGGAACCTGTGAAGATGTAATGAATGGCGTCAAATGCAATTGCCCATTTGGTAAGGATTTATAAGTTTTACATCACTCTGCATTACTCTGACTAAAGTCACATGTATGTTGTACTGCTGTTATTGAGATGTTATCAAATATTGTAAGGTAAGAGCATCTTGTCTGCTTCTTGAAAGACACATTGCTATTATTTAGAAAAGTAAATGTGGAAGCTCTTTGGGAACATTTGTCTAAAATTAAACCATGAAGAATTTTGATAAACAATAATCTAGCTCAGATAAAAAATTGCCTGTCAGTCTTTCATTCTAAGCCTTAAAATAAAACAAAACAATACATTATTTAAGGATAAGACAGCAATTCTTCATAACTATGCCCACATATGGCAATTTGTATACATTTGTTTATTAATTTAGTTATCTGATTTTACACCAGTTTAAACTGTTTTTTTTTTCTGTTTTTTGTTTGTTTGTTTGTTTGAAATATAAGTCCCAATTCAGGAAGACATTCCTATATATAAGGTTCCTATATTTGATTCAGCAAATTAGCAGTAGTAAATATTTAAATTATGGTAGCACCTATAGTGTGCTGGGTGATGTTCAAACACAGAAAAGAGTCTGTCCCTTTCGTGTAAACCCCACACTGATTCTGGAGGTTTAACAAGAGTTTGAGAGCTGAACTAACATAGTTGGTGGGATGTTAAGAAGGTCAGTTAGCAAGGCCACCTGAAAAGGGGTCAGGTTTCCTTTGAAAAGGACTGAAATTTTAGCTAAAAGGAGACACAGGAAAGAGGAGATTTTGCTCTGTGAGCATGGTTTGCTTGAAATGAGGAGAAAAAAGAATTGGAAAAGGCCATAAGAGTTGAATCCTGTGGTGGACTTCAAGATGGGGCAAGCCTCCAGGGAATCAGCGTTGGGCTGTGGTATTCAGCTAAGGAGCAGCATTTTGGGGAAGATTTATGAAGGGCTAAAGTTCAACCCTAGGGGAGAGTGGAACTGGCTTCAGTTTTTATTTTTTGGCTTGGTATTTACTGGAAACCTCTGGGAGACTCCTGTGGACCATAGCTGTAAAGGAAGGGTGAAGCTTAAGACCTTGGGGAGCCTGAGATGAATGCAGGTACACAGTGAGCCCCAGAAGGGGCTGTTGGGGAGGTCTGCAGATGAACAAGGTAAGAAGTAGCCCAGGGAGGAAGCAGCAGACCTGAGTGGAGAGACCTGGTCTACTTAATACAGGACCCTTGGTCTGGAGCCCAAAGAAGAGGAAGGGCTAGGGTTCTCCTACCAACCACCAAAAAGAAAGACTTTGGAGACCAGGGGTAGAAAGACTTGAGTTTGGACTTGAGCCAAAGACTTGATGCAGACAAGACAGTCAGACTGGGGAAAGGAGTAGCAGAGTGAGCAATGTGATGGCAGCAAACAATATGTTGATGATAGCTGTGTGGTGGATATTGTTTGTCTTTTTTAGGGGGTGTTTAGTTAGGAGGGATATTGAAGGGACAGGGACACTGAAAGAGAGGAAGATGAGGGAGATAGGGCAAGGGAAGAAGAGGGTAGTAATGCTGAGGTGAAGAGGCTCTGAGGGAAGGGAAGGGTTGATGCAAACAGTCAGCTAGCATAGAGTAGATAAAGTTCAGTGAAAGCTGTAGAATTTTTTCTGAATGCCCAGAGGTCCCTACTGCCCCCTCAGCTGGAGTCTCTGTCTCGCTCCTCTTTACAGCATTCTCCCAAGTCCATGTGGTGAGAAAGAGGAAGGAGAGACTCCACCTGGTTCCTAGTGCCCCAGAGTGGCAGTGAAGGGGCTTCTCCTGTGCACAGTTCTATGTCTGGGGAGGAGTGGCCCTGTTTTTTTCTAAATATGTATAAGTATTTCTTATACCAAAGAACCATAGTAACACACTTTGAAGCCAGGTTTTTGTTTGCTATAATTCTCTATACTAGTACTTCTAGTTTGCTAGGTTTTGTTTATTGTGGTTTTAGTTCCCAGAGCTATCTGGGACTTGGTACTGTACATCTGATGTGATTGATAACAAGAATGTACTTGGAGCACATCATTTTGGGATATGGAAACTTGTTCACTAGAAACTGGACTGGGTGAATAAGGGTGGATATGATAGAGGTCTATAAAATCATGAATGGTGTAGTGAAAGTGAATAGGAAAGTGTTACTTATCCCTTCACAAAACACAAGACTCGGGGGGGGGGGGGGAGGGTGTCACACAGTGAAATTAAAAGGCTGCAGTTTTGAAACAAACAAAACAAAATACTACTAGATATGACCCAGTCACCCTGTGGAACTTGTTGCCATGAGATGTTGTTGAGGCCAAAAGTATAATTGGATTCACAAAAGAATTAGGGAAGTTCATAGAGGATAGGTCCATCAATATCTATTAGTCATGATAGTCAGGAATGCAACCCCATGCTCTGGGTATCCCTAATCCTCCAACTACAGAAAGCGAGATTGGACGATAGGGGTGGATCACTGAAAATTGTCCTGTTCTGTCCGTTCCCCCCAAAGCATCTGGCACTGGCCACTGTTAAAGACAAGATACTGGGCTAGAGGGACAATAGCTCTGATCTAGTGAGGCTGTTCTTATATTCTTAAATGACCATTGACTTCTGAAAATGCTTAATACCTTTTCTGCACTGCCATTTGCATTTAAATGTTTAGTGTTGTTATGGGAAACTGGATTTGAAGAATGTGGTCTAGTGATGTGAATACACAACTGGAGGCCTGAACAAGAGAGTTTTACTCCCAGTTCTAACATATGGCATTGGGCAAATTGTTTCCTATTTGACTTCCTTTTCCCCATCAGAAAATGTAGGTAAATTTGCTTTTCACAAAGGTGTTATGATGGGAGTTAATGCACGTGGAGTTAATGTTTGTAAAGTGCGTTGAAAAGGAAAAGACACTATGTAAATTGTAGGTATTATTACATTGATTCTAATAGGAGAATCACTTCCAAATATGAAAGAACTAACTCCAGGTAACACATGAATAAGAAATGAAAACCTAGCTTCTAGTCTCCATGGTTTAATTGAATATTAATATCTTACTGGCTTTCTGTCAGTAAATAGGTTTCCTTGATCAAAGGAACAATAGTTATTGGGGTTTTTTTGTTGGTGGTGCAAATAAATAGCCCAGCCTTGTTTTTAACAGAACTAGTAATATATATTTCCAAGGAAAACAACACAAGATGAATAAATAATTTGGTTATAGACAGTCTGTTTTTCTTTAAATGAAAATATATGGGTCAATAATTGAATGTTTGACTAGATGGCCCACAGCTAGCACTTCATTTTCTTGTTTTCCTTTATAAGTATTTTCATTTATTGTAGCTGTGGCCTCCTGAGAAAGTAATATATTAATGAAAACTTGCAGCTCTATTTTGTGTAATCTTTTGGGCATTACTGCCTTAATTTTAAATAGTTTGGTTGATAAATGTTTATAACCATTCCCTGGTCACTTCTTCTTTTCAACTCCTTGTTTGTTATGCTTGTTTGTTGCGTCTGATCTTTTGGAACAGTGACCATGTCTTCCTGTACAGTACAAGAATGAGGCCTCTGGGCACTATTGCAATATAAATACACAATCTAAGGGGTGGGCTATCATATGTGTAGAGTGGGTTTGCTTTTTAAGTAGTAGTAGTAGTAGTCTAGCTATTATGGTAATGTGTAGAGAGAGTCTTCAATCAGGGATCAGACCCTAATTATGCTAGGTGCTACACAATCACATAACAAAGAAATGGTCCCTGCTATGAAGACCTTACAGTCTAAGTCAAGGCATAGACTTTTTTTTTTTTAAATGCCAGAAGGGATCATTATGATCTAGTCTGCACTCCTCTGTAACATAGGCCATAGAACATCACCCAAGGATTTCTGCATCATTTCTGGTTAAGCTATAGAATATGTTTAAGAAAAACTTCTAGTAATGATTTAAAGACTAAGACTTGGATGCACAAAAGGAGTGAGGAATCTAAGTCCCATTGTTAGGCATTTTGCTCATTGCAGTGAGGCCTGCTGAACATCATAGATAACTAAACTCCTTGTATGCATGTGTTTTTTCCAGTAACACTTTCCTAGCAGTTATGTTTCTTCCTGAAGGCATGTGCATTGCTGCCTATCTCCTACCTAAACCCCAGAGTGATTCACAAACTGGAGTAAGGTAGGGGTTTGGCTAATTAAATTGAGTATGGGGGCCAATCCAGTGGAATGCTCAGTGGGTTTCTACTGGGTTGGGCCCCAAAGACAAATTCTCACAAAATAGCTGGTGGTGGAGGACCACCTCACTCACAACTTTTAGCCTAGTGGTTAGAGTATCCTCGGATATGTAAGACCCGCTGATTAAAGTCCCCCCATCCACCTAAGCAGGAGTAGGGATTTGAACAGGGACCTGCTATCTGAGTACTCCAACCACTGGGCTAGGGGATATCCTGAGGTGTTCCTCAGCCTCTCCTGTTGAGGCTATTGCATTGTAGATAAATAATTAGTCACTGAAGAAGGCAGACTGGACTGTGTCTCTCACATCCTAGGTAATCACCAGGCTATAGAATCATTTGCATGCTTGTATGTGTTCTCTCTCACATGCGCTCTCTCTTGCATATTCATATGTATGGGTCAGAGAGTGTGCGGTCCCTGCCTAGCATGCTGTTTTTTTATGCATTGCAGTCTGAAGTGCCTATGTTTCCATATTCATTTTATAGGAGCTTGGGCACTTAACTCAGGCTCTGTTAATCTCACTGATTTTGTTAGGCACCTAAAAGTTAGGCACTGTGGTGCTCAGTGGCACAATGTCTAACTCCTTTTCTGCATCCAGGCCTAAGTGACAGAGAATCTACCACATCAGTAGGTAAATTGTTCAAATGGTTCATTGCCCGCACATATTAAATGAGGGACGACAGGTGAATGAAACAGAGGGAACACAAGGAAGCTTTGAAGTAGCTAAAGCTTTTCCTCTGTTACACCTGGACTATTGTCTATGATTCAAAGTGATAACTTAATCATTAACTTTCCAGAAGCAAAAAGCATGATTGGTGTGCCCAGGGCAGGCAATATTGT